CGCGGCGGGGAGAGAGCGGGCTCGGCGTCGATGGCAGCGGCGGGGGAGGACGCGGCTCCTCCTGAGAGGGGAGAATAAGCCCTGAGGGAGGCAGGGTCAGTCCGTGCGCCCCGTCGCCGCGTCCCCTGCGGGGGACTTTGGGCCGGCCGTGCCGGGAGGTCCGGCCTTCTCCCTGTGGTGGCCCCCCTGGCCTCCGCGTCACGCTTCAGTGCCCGAGGCTGAGAGGCTCCATGGCCCTTTCAGTGTTCCGAGGCGGCCTTTGAAAACTCTCCGGGGCGCCCGATCGTTCCTGCGGCCAGCGGGTGCCCAGGGCAGCGGTAGGGCGGGCCAGGCCCTCCCGTCAGGCCTGCCTGCGGCTCGGGGCTGCCGGAGGTGGCAAGATTGCAGCGAGTTGTCAGCTTTGGTGGGGCTGTGCAGGCCAGGCTCCGTGGGTTGGATGACCTTTGAAATGGCCGCAGCCAGGGCAGGGGGGCTTCTGCTGGGTCCTTGCTCCCCCAGCTCTCTTCCACCTGCCTTTTCTGTACCAGAGCTAGTGCAGGTTAAGCAGGAGGTGCTGAAGGTGACTTTTAGATATCCGGCTAAGAGTTGTTACAACTTGGTTGGGAGATAACAACTGGCTGGAGCCAGCTGTGGAAAGGGCAGTGCACCACAAAGCCGAGAAGTGCTGGGCCAACTCCTGCCCGGGCTGCAGCCAGCCCCTGTGGCAGCAAGCTGGTGAGGTGTTTGAGGACAGGCTTGCCTGAACTTCAGTGATTTGGCCTCCATTCCTCTAATGCACTTTGGATTCCAGACAGGGGAATTCATTGATTAGCTAATGTGTGCTCCGTACTTTGAAGATGTGAAGTCTGAGGAAAGCACTAGGGTTATTAATTTCTGTTTGGATGATTTGGCTGGACAAAAAAGGTGTGGGTGGTTGGGATTTTTTTCCCCTAACATTTCAGTAGCCTTGAACAGGTTGCAGCTTGTGAGGAGACACGAACAGTTTGTATGTGTCTCAATGAATGGGTGAACAATTTATTTGTACTCATCAATCGAGGACCTTCCTCAATTTAAACAATTATTTAAACTCCTTTAAAGTACTTACACATTTCCTTTAATGTTTTTATAGATGCAAATAATATTTGTATGTCCATACCTTAGAGGTGGACATGGGCTGCTAACTGATTATTGTTAATTCATTATAAATTCTTACCTAGATTTTCTCAGCAGCCTTTTAAAATTTTCTTTTTTTCGTATATATGTGTGTGGGAATAAAGCTATCAACTTCTAGGAAAGTTCTACTATGGTGTGTGATATCTTTTATAGTGCCTGGTTGAGAACATTAATGAGAGGTAACACTCAAGACAAAGCTTCTAAAGTAACTTTCATTTTCAACCCTCCCCAGCCAGCCAAAAAACCAAAAACCCCACCAAACAGGAAATGGAAAGCAGTATGCTGAGAAACGTTGTGGCTTATGAACACTCACTGTTTAGGCAAAAAAGACTTGTTAAAACACCAGATCTATTACTTTGACTTCGACGGTTGAGAAAGACATGGAAAACATTGTACAAAGCTTTGGAAGGACTGCACAAATCTTTGTGCTGTTTTGGCTGACACTTATTTTGGGCTATTTTATCAACATTTGCTTTTTTTTCTCTGATACCTTCTGTCCCTGAAATGGCATATATCAAGAAGCCTCAGGGCAAATGGAAACCTGAAATTACTTGTAGTTACTGTGAATTTATTATTGCGTCATTTCACTGAAAGAACTTGAGAATTAAGATGTGCTGATACTAGAACTGGGTCCCAACATAGACCAATGGTGTAGCAAATATTGTAAGGCACTGTAAGAATTTGCTATCTGGAAAAGCAGGAAAATATGTTTCAAAAAGTGTATAAAAGGCTAAAAGATAATTTTGCTTATACAGTGGTAAGAATCTAAGTAGATCCTGTGGTCTTTAATTTGGCCTCACAACAAGCCTGACAAAGCACTTGTGCTGAGAGTTTGGACATACACACCTGGGCATAATACATGGGTAAATTACTGGTGTTCAGGGATACTGAGCATTTTTCCTTTCGTCATTACTGATTCATTAAAGAATGCTGTGTAAGGCAAATTTCTCTGGCCACACATACCTCTCTTTTGCCCTTACAGCCTGCAACTACCGAGATCAAACCAAACAGTGCAGTGTTACTCGATATGTGTGCAGTTGCCTTCCTTAGAGGCACCCAAATTGTAGTACATTCCTGAATTTTCTTTGCTAGTCAGAAGTAATGTATATACTCTCATGACTTGATGTTAAATTTTTAAAAGGGCGTATGAAGGGTTCCCTTAGTCAGGCGGGAGGTGTGTGTTCTGAGTGCACTTGGCAAAAGCATGACAATTGGAATGATTCATCCCTGTTCTGTCTCGACCAGCAGAAATGACGTGAAACTTTCTGTGTAGGACGAGAAAGGACCTAAGTATGAGCACTCATAGACCGGGGATTTAAATTTTCTTTTTCTTAAACAAGGACCTGATACACTTCCTATTAGATAGCAGTAGTAATATTTTCAGGTGGATTAAGTATTTGGAAGTAGATGTTAAGATAACTGTTACAAAAGCTGCCAGATTTAGAGCAGCAGATTTATTCCTGCATACCTTCAGTAAACTTGCTAGGTAGTTGCACTGATCTGTGCTGTGTAGCTGCTGAGTGTGTGTAATCCAAAATATTTCTCTTGACACTCTTACAGAAAGTAGAGTCTGGTATTACTTTTACCCATGTTCAGGTGAGACTGGGTAAGGCAGTTGCCCAGTGTCACATTGGAAATCGAAGCAGATTTCCATGGAATGCTGATCATGTCTGAGGTGGCAATTGCTTTCCCACAAGTTTTTGTAGAGTACGTCATCATCATCCATTAAGGTGAAAGAACAACGCAGTCTCCCAGCTCCATTGGATGTCAGCTCTGCAAAGAATGCCATCATCAGTGCTACACTGACTGATGTTCCTGTGGCATGAAAACAGGTCTCAAATACCAGCCATAATACCTAGTGCTTGTATAATATTTGACATGACCAAGGCATTGTACAACCACAGACACTGAAAAACTTGAGTTATTTCACTTACAGTCACCGCAGAGATCACTAGCCAATCTCACCTGTGCATTCAGAAGCATTTTAAGGAGTTCCTAGTAATCAAAGAACTAATTTTATTTATTTAAAACTAATTTTGAGGTCATATTATTCATAAGAAGTACTCTGATAACAGAATAGCACTCTGGTTGCTAAGAACAGAGGAGATACTGCATTAAGTGAGTAACTGTGGCTGAATGCTCCACCTTTAAATGTTCTTAGACGTATCAGAAACCGTCTCTCAATAGTTAGTGAAAAGAAAAAGAGCTTTCTTCCTTCTGTGCTTTTTGTATACATTTCATTTCTTCAGAAGTGGTTGGTCAGATCGGTGTTTGTCTACTAGTTTTCTCCCTCAGTTTCCTTTCTAGCTGCTCAGAGAGCATTGGAAGACTTTCATTTAAACCAGAAGGACTAGAAATGTATTTTTTAGGTTTGGCAGAAGCTGATAGCAGTTGCTCAGGAAAACATCCTACTTGCAACAGATTTTTCAAACCCTATATATGGCTAGATAAACATCTAAGCATTTGGTATCTTACAGTTGTATTCTAAAGCAAAGCAAAACAAAACAAAAAGAACTTCAAAAGTTAGAGATAAGACCAGTAAGTGAAATGTAATAGAAACGAGGAATTTTGAGAGCCTGGTTTCTGATGTCTCTCTTTTATGAGAATTCTTGATGTCTAATTAAGAATGAGTTTATTAACTTTTCTTGGCTGAAATATTGATATAATCTCTTTTCTCTCTCCAGTTTCCAATTTGAAAGAAAACTGTAGAATTTTAAGATTTCTTAGACCTTTCCCCTTCAGTAAAGTTTGGTTACAACTGCCTAGTGAGTTGAAAATTCATGTCAGGGAGTGACAGACAGGTAACTGTTGAATGGGTTTTTTTTCCCTTAGGAAACTAGGCCAAGATGAAATCAAGTACCTGAATTTAAAAATTATGAATTTATTAAATTTCAGCATTCAAATATTTTCTTTGTGCACATAAAATGATTAAAGAGAAAAATACCTCACTGCTTCTCTTAGGCTGCCACAAAAAAGATTATGAATACAAAATCTGTGGATAAATTCACTTTTACGATATTGTAACCCCCACACATTATTACAGTAATTACTTCCTCCTAAATGTATACATAGTGCATGAAAATATATCCTAATTGTAAAATCACTTACAAGCATTTATCATTCTTGCAAGTATTCCTTTATGAGTAGGAAGTATAACTTTCCTAAATTTAGTTGTTGCAGAAGTGTCTGCTGCTTAGTGACATACAGCACCTGTGACATAACAGTAGAGAGTCGGGTTGTTCTTGTGTTATGTTCCTGGTTTTATAAATACTTGTGACACAATGAACACATTTGATATGCATTTCAGGACAACAGCTGTGGCAAAATATTTTTTCTGTAACAGGTGAGTAGGCCAGTTAAAAATGTCTTGATGGTACATAATCAGAACAGTAGTAAACTTGGCTTTTGTTAGAATAATTTGTTAACTTTTGCAAAGAGTTAACAAAAGCAGTTCAGTACAGTTTCTTTTTTTTTTTTTTTTTTTTAATTTTGATGAATGAAATTCATGTTCAGCACACTGAGACACTAATCTGTATTACCATGCTGCAAATAAATAGTAAGGGTCATTTATCAGTAATTCTGAGGATATCAACAGTGCAAACTTATTGTGTCCTTCATCCACAACAAAGACTTCTTGCAGGCATGGACATCTTTATAAAATAATTTCATCACGGATCTTCAGTGTTTCTTTAAAAGTCAAGGGTTTGAGCCTATTCAGTCAATAGCTACCCCACTATCTGTTAAAGCTAGAGAAAAATTATCCAGAAAATTCATTTAGTGAAGCCCAGGACAGTCATCCTTGTATTTGCAGTTCATAAGCAGGGAGGGAAGAGCATGACACGGAAGGGCAGCTTCCTGCTTCTGTTGACCCTCTGCAGGTAACAGGCAGGTGAGAAGAGGGCTGGTGAGTTCTGACAGTTTCATCCAGTATTTCTCCTCACAGTGGTCGATGGTGATGCCACAGTGTGACTTCATTAGGAAGACTTGTTGATCTCAATTAGTTTAATTCTCTGAAAAGCTTGATTTAGTTCAAATCTTGTTAATGCCACAGCCAGAAAGATTGGGCAGTGACCACTGGAAGATCTTTGGGGTTGTTCATACGGCTTGTAAAAAGGGCTATTTATATAGTTTGTCCCTGATTCTTACCCAGTTCCTTTTCTGCCTGCCCCCCTCTGCTTTGTCATCATATAGTCAATTATTTAGTGGTTTAAAGCATTACAACATTTTATGTTTAAATGTGCTTAAATGTTTTAACTTTTTTTGAGCAATTAGCCATTTGTGCATTTTTATGCAAGCTCACTTTACTGACTATTTTTGAGACGTTAGCTCAAAATATTTCAGTGGTTGCAAAGCCTTTAAAATAATTCATTATCATTAAATATTTTACCAGATAATTCACTGAGACAAACGTGAAACGTGCAGTTGGGAAGGTAAAATCATAACCAGTCACATAAACCTGTCTTCATTAACTCCCTTTCAAACATCTCCAAATGTTACCAATAGAGAAAGACATCCTCGTAGAGTGGTTTGAAGCGTGAATTCTTTAGTTTTCAGTTGGAATCTGCTTTATGTTTGGGAGGAAGGCTTTCATTTCCTGCATCTGAGATTCATTTTTAAATGCAAGCTAACAGGAAGATTAGCCTTTAAGGACTATTAGTGACTGGCCAGAATGGTGTTAGAGACTAGAACATAAAAGGCAAAAAAGAGAAAGATATAAACTTAAGTGAGTGAATAAGGAGATTCATCAAACTATATTCTCAGCTGGTGTCAATTGATATGGCTTCCTTCCATTGGGACTGTGCCAGATGAGACCAGCAACATATCTGTCCTGTCGTGATTCCAACTTGAGTCCTGGACCCCAACTTGAAAGTAGTTTTCTGGATTGTTTAGTTTGTTCTTACTTCATATGCAACGGATAGAGCCTTTACTGATAACCTGTGGGACATTCTTCAAAACTTTGCCATAAAAACTGTTAAGAGCAAAGGAAATGCTTAACGCTTATTGCAGTAATGAAAATATCTTCAGACACATTAAAGGCCTTTATGGAGTTTTGATGGGTTTATTTTTATTGCCATAACTGCTTTAGTAAATCAACGTGTCAAAGTTTTGTTTATTTATGTGTCACAGAAATTACTGATTTATCTCTGTAAGCAGAAATGTGTGAAGGGCTATGCCACAATCTTCGGATGTCTTACCATTTCCTCCTTCTTCTGCAAGCCTTTCATAGTCTCCCAGAGAGAGCTGGCAATGTCAGTGGGGATAATTCTCATGGGTTTCTCTGAAACTCTCAGCCCCCTTGCCAGATCATGGACAGCCAAGCCTTGAAAAAGGTGTTCACCTCCCAGTAAAACAAATGATTGTTAGAGATGAGAAACCAGACTCAACAGACCCAGGTTTGCATCTGTTTCGGCAACTCCTAAAATCTATTCATATGTTTAACACATTCGCATGCTTTTCCAGACAAATGCAGGAAGATTTTGTACCATACCACAGTCTGTAAGTCAGAATGCTTTGAAGTGAGCCATGAGCAATAGGAGGCTGAAGGAGGTGTCTTGTTCTACTCATTGTACATAATTATTGTAAAATTGTTTGACAGATTACAGACTTTCAGAAGTAGAGAGTTTTAGAAGGAAGTGCCACAACAAATGTGGTTTATGAATTTGATTTTTTTTTCTCTTCAATGAATAATAAACCATTTATTGTACTGATCATATCACTGGATTTATCACTGGGTTCCTATTGCTTGCAGTATTCTGCACTGAATGTTTTACGGCTCATCAGTACTCTAACTTTGGCCTTGGCTGCCCATGTGGCTTAAAGATTTTGTGTTGCTACATATTGCTGAAGTATCTGAACACATACCGTAAGATCTAGACCTGTCAACTTCCCTCTAAACTTGTCTCTCATGGAATTGTAAAGGCAATTCTGCTGCCTCACTCACTTCTCAGTACCCAAAGTGACAGGGAAAAAGGAGAAAACCTGAACAAGAAGCATCTACTGTATGGCAAGCCAAGGTGCAGTCATAAAAAAGCCAATACAAGACAGGAGGCAGTACAGAATGTTAGTCTTCTAGCCACCCAGGAAAAGGTATGAATGGGAGAAGAAAAAGTTGAATGCGGTTTTGGGTGAATGATACTATAAAGCATCATAACAAAACATTTTTCCTTTAAAACTACTCACTTGTTTTGTTTTTGCTTTTATAAAAATGAATTATTTGGTGGTCTTTAATGAGTTGTCTTGGGCAGCTTGAAATGTCAAGGTGGAAGAAGTGGTTAAAGACAGAATGTCCTTGCACCCCTTAATTAAAAGAGTTTTAAAATGCTGCTATTTAACTTTGAGCTGAGGAAAATGAAAAACATACATTTAGTGTTGTTTCCGCTATCATACATGCATGTCCTTGATTTTTGACTGGTAATTTCTCTTTTGATCATTGTATAGGAGGGACTTTCTTGTCTTATTGTTAACTGAAATACTCAAAATTGTAATCCCACTTTGGAAGTGCACAGCTATGTTCATGTGATCAGAGTTTACACGTTAAATGTTTTTTCATCAGTAATTTAATATTAATGAGCCATTACATTATTGAGGTTTAGCTAGAGGTTTTTTGTACTGATAATGCATATATTTGTTTTCCAGTGACATAACTGCAGTGCTGAGAACAATTGCTGTTTAACAGAACTGAAATGTTCTTGATATTCAGAAATATCATTCTGTATAATATAGAAGTTAAAATAGATGGGCCACATTAGCAAAGGAATACAGAAATGCACATTATTTCAACAGAGCCGA